CATCGTGCTAGATCATGTTAAGTCAGGAAATATTTTCAGTAGTCATGGAAATACTAATTGTCTGTAATTGTGTAATAATATATCACAATAGTACTGTTTTTGCTGTATTTTAGATTAAATAAATACAGCCTTGGTGAGATTAGGAGATGACACAATACTTTAAAATGGCAGAGTATAATTTTGTTATATGTATTTTTTTTTCTTTGAATAGTCAAAGCATTGAAAATATAATTTCACACATGATTCTTATATCTTATGCACATACACACACACACACACACGTCAGACTCTCCATGTCTGTCCTGTCAGCAAATCTTCATGCAAGAGCAGCTGGGGGTAAAAACACACTCGGCACACAATCATGAACTCCGGACTCAAAGGAAGAATAATACATTCCCACATATGTGCAGTGGGGGTGTGGGATTGCAGCTGTTGTACTGGACAGACATTTAAACACTCATCCATGAGTGTGTGAGAGGCACGACATGAGCTGTATCTGATTAGTAAATCCAGACATGGACAGACTCAAAACAGTGACTGAAAAAAAAACATAAAAGGCCAAGGAGCTTCTAAATTGTGTGTGCGATTTTCAGTTTAAAGATAAGGCAGCAGTTTTATTTCGATTGTTTTGTTTTTGAAACAGGAATCAGCAACCTTTTGACAATAAGTGAATTTTTAGCTATTCTTGGTTACTATATAACACAAAGTTTTTATTTTAGCCAACAAGTTTAATTATGATTAAGGTGAAAATAAAATAAAATGAAATAATAAAACCAAAGACATACAAATCATCTACTAAAGAAAAATATGTTGCAACTCGCATCTTAGTACCATTATACAGTTGTTTATTGTGTGTTTTTGTTTTAATAAAATGAATACAATTAAAATAAAAAATTTATGAAATTGAGCTCACCATTTTTTTTTTCTGCTGTGGACACTTTTGTCCCATTTTATTTAACTGTGTGACAATGGAAGTACAGTACAGCAAGAAGCTTTTGGCATGTTGATGTTAAAGGGGTCATATGACGTTGCTAAAAATTATTTGGTGTATTTGGTGTAATGCAATGTGTTTATGCGGCTTAAGGTTAAAAAAACACATTATTTTTCACATACTGTACATTATTGTTTCCCCTCTATACCCCACCTTTATGAAACGCGTCGATTTTTACAAAGCTCATCGGTCTGAAAAGCGAGATGTGCTCTGATTGGCCAGATATGCAGTGCGTTGTGATTGGCCGAATACCTCAAGCGTGTGACGGAAATGTTACGCCCCTTACCATACTGTGATGCCGTCTCCTGGCGCGACGAGACAAAACCAGTAAAACACGGCATTATAGGCTACTCTCCCAGGAAACAGTCCTCCTCCATAAAATGCGCTGCACACATCTGAAT